TCTAATAAATAAATAAATAAATAAAATTGAATAAGTAATACTTAGAGATGGACATGTAGCTCAGTGGTGGAGCATTTGCCCGGTATTTGCAAAGTCTTGGGTTCCATCCGCAAAGCTGTATAAACCGGGCTTGGTGATGCATGCCTGTAATCCCAGTATTTGGGAGGCAGAGGCAAAAGGCTCAGAAGTTCAAAGACATCCTTGGAAATGTAGCAAGTTTGAGGCCAGTCTGGGATACAGACTATCTCTTCCTTACCTCCCAAAAGACACAAAAAAAAGAACTTATATTCAGTTGAAAAGAAGAAGAAAAATGTGGTGGACATTTCATTAAAATATGGATCATACATAGGATGGCAAAACATGGGAACCAGGCTTCTGAATTTCCTCAGATAATACTGAATTGTAGTTGAATTGTGTAGTTTTTATGTGTGTGTAATTCTCTTCTGATATCTTAGTAAATTAAGGCCTAGAAGTGATTCCTCAGAATTTGAGTCGACATCAGCTAATTATTACATTTTTACAGGTGTTGCATACTATTTTCTTTTAAAATAGTTTTATTCATTCTTTTAGACTTTTATACAGTGTATATTGATCATATTTACCTCCAATTCTTCACCCTAGATACTTTGTATGTATGTATTCTTTTTTCTCCCAGATACTTAACTGGTTCGTACAAATTTGTCTTGGAGTAAATCACATTCACAAGAAACGTGTGTTACACCGAGATATCAAGTCCAAAGTGAGTATAAGGTGTTGATGATGGAAGTTACAAAATAATCCCACACTAGTTGAGAATTACATATAATAAAGGGTTATTTATTTAAGGGAGACTCACAGATCACTGTCCTAGATCACAGTCCTCTGCACAAACAGTGAACAGGAACCGAGTCTAGCAGCTGGAGGCAAGAGCCAGAAGCAAGAGAGAAAGGACATGCTTTACAGCTGCATTTTAGTATAAGAGAGACCATGCCCAAGGGCTGGTGTCTTAAAGGCTATTGGCCAAAGGAGCTTCAAAATCAAGGTGTTTGGGGGTCTGGGGAATAAAGAAAATGATTTCATTGTCTTTTTTTTTCTATTACTATTTCTTTTTGGGACATTGTATTTAGTTTAGAAAATTTTGCCAATATAATACTTTTTATTTATTTATTTATTTATTTATTTATTTATTTATTCATTCATTTTTAAATGTTCAAACTACATTTTTTTTTTTTCCGAGACAGGGTTTCGCTGTGGTTTTGGAGCCTGTCCTGGAACTAGCTCTTGTAGACCAGGCTGGTCTCGAACTCACAGAGATCCACCTGCCTCTGCCTCCCTGGGATTAAAGGCGTGCGCCACCACCGCCCGGCCAATATAATACTTTTTAATATTGACTCTTTTAATGAAAAAAAATTTAGCTGGGTGTGGTGGTACATGCCTTTAATCCCAGCACTTGGGAGGCAGAGGCAGGCGGATCTCTGAGTTTGAAGCCAGTCTGGTCTATAGAGTGAGTTCCAAGACAATCAGGCTACATAGAGAAACCCTGTCTCAAAAGACAAAAGGAAACAAAGAATACCCTCACCTTATTGAGGTAAAATCGACAAAATTGTATATATTTATAGTATACAATATGGTATTTTAATATACATACAAGTATGCAATTGTAATATGATTAAGTAATGCTAATTGATGTGTCTGTGATCTTACTTAATGTTTTAGATTTACTTTTATTAAGTGTGTGTGTGGGGGTGGGTGGGTGTGGGTGGGTGTGGGTGGGTGTGTGTACTATGCACGAGAGAGTATAAATGGCCAAGAAGCCCTGGGCTTCAGATTTCCTGGAGCTGTAGTTACAGATAGTTGTGGACCACCTGTTGTTTCCTGGGAACCAAATCTAGGTCCTCTGGAAGAGCAACAAGTGCTCTTAACCACTAAGCCATCCCTCCAGACCCTCCCCTTCTGAACATTTAAAACCTACACTTTAACCAGCCATGGTAATAACTGCCTGTGATCCCAGCCCCTGGGAGGGTGAGGCAGGAGGATTTCTAGTTTGAGGTCAGCACAGACCACTTGAGTCAGATCCCTATCACAGAAAAATAAATAAATAAATAAAATCTACTCTTTTAGTAATTCTCAAGAATATTATATATTGTCAGGCAGTTGTGGCAAAGCCTTTAATCCCAGCACTCAGGAGGCAAAGGTAGGCAGATTTCTGTGAGTTCGAGGCCTGTCTGATCTACAGAGTGAGTTCCAGTAGACTTTAGGACTTACCCTACGTAAAACTTTACGCTCTTTGACCTAGAATTTATACCAACCAAATAAAATAGCATATGTAAAAAGGAGTTAAGCCACTTTTGACATCTAGGTGAATGTGAGCCTTTTAATGCCCACCGAATAAATGCGTGTGTTCTCAGATAGGAAGTGGTCAGCACCTGTCCCAGCCACTGAGTCACCAACAAAGGCTCCCACCGATTGGATCTGATGCTGTCTGACATTTGCTTGTTAGATTTCAAAGCATGCATCCTGAATCCCTAGGCAGAGGAGTGTGCAGCTGTTTTAAGAGGGGGGTCTTGCTATTTCTTTTGTTTTCTCTGGGACCCAGCTGTCAGTATTTCTACCCTTATCCCCACCGTCAGCGGGCTTTGAAAGCTGCCCTGGAGACCGCGGCCTTATGCTGGGATGATCAGGGCATCTATATTCTTCTTTTCCAATGCAGAATGTCTTCCTCACCCAAAGTGGAAAAGTGAAACTGGGAGATTTTGGCTCCGCCCATCTTCTCTCCAGGTATGTACCCGTCCACGTGAGAGAGAGCTGAACAGCCATTTTCAGAAGAGCTTTGGAGTCACTTTGCCTTTCTGTGGTTTCAGTCCCATGGCCTTTGCATGTACGTACGTGGGAACGCCTTATTATGTGCCTCCAGAAATTTGGGAAAATCTGCCCTATAACAATAAGAGGTGGGTAGTGTCCTTATTTGGATAGTGTTGGGCATTTGGCGGGAGGGGCTGGATTCTGGTGCAGATGCACAGAGCTTATTTGCTTAGAGATTTTGTTTGAGTTATCTCTTGAGTGTCTATGTGAGTGTGTATACATGTGCCATGGGCTGTGTAGAGAGGTCAGAGGACACCCTTTTGGAAATTGGTTCTCCCACCTTGTTGAAGAGGGGGGCTACCTCTTTGGTCGTTTCTGCTGCTGCACTGCACACCCTGGGCCACCTGACCCACGAGCTTCTAGTCGGTGCTACTATCTCTCTTTCCATCTTGAGGCTGGAGTGCCGAGATCACAGATGTGTGCGCCTGACTTTCTTACGTGCATTCTGAAGGTCAAAATCAAATGGCCAGTTTTGTGGGGCAAGTGTTTGACCAGCCGAGCCACCTTCCCCACTCTGCTTTCCAAAGATCTGCTTGGGGCTTTGGTGTCTGCAGTTCATGAGTAGAATAATTTTGCCTAGCACGTGTCTTGGATTTGATTACCAACATCACAGAAGTAAAATTTCATAAAAAATAGATCTTAAAGTCACATGGAATCTGTATTCTCAGGAATCCAGAGGAAAGCCCTGGTTTTACAACCATTGTCATCACAGCTGTGAGGGCCTAGTTGATAAAAGAAGGTTCAGCAGTCAGTAAGGGTGGTCTGGTTCCAGACTTGTTTATGCTTTTTTTTTTTTGGTTTTTCGAGACAGGGTTTCTCTGTGGTTTTGGTGCCTGTCCTGGAACTAGCTCTTGTAGACCAGGCTGGTCTCGAACTCACAGAGATCCGCCTGCCTCTGCCTCCCAAGTGCTGGGATTAAAGGCGTGCGCCACCT